CCATTTGTGATAAAATGGGAGTTCTCTTATCGAGAAAGAAGGGGAGAATAGACAATAGGCAGGCAACCAGCAGCGTTTGCCAGAGGGGAGACGTTCCGTTTTGGTCAAGTTGAGTTGAAGATGTCTTGAGAATAGGCAGGAGAGAAGTGTGGCTGGCGAGGTGTGAGTTGAAGCCTCCAGAATTGGTCATCATTCAGGTAAAGGATGTGGACTAAAAAAAGAAGAGGGCCGGGTGCCTGGGTGGCTCAGTTGGTTAAGCAACTGCCTTCGGCTCAGGTCATGATCCTGGAGTCCCGGGATCGAGTCCCGCATCGGGCTCCCTGCTCGGCGAGGGGCCTGCTTCTCCCTCTAACCCTCCCCGCTCTCATGTACTCTCTCTCTCTCTCATTCTCACTCTCTCAAAATAAATAAATAAATCTTTAAAAAAAAAAAAAAAAAAAAGAAGAGGGCCAAGTAGAGAATTGTGGAATCACTCAAAACTCTATGGGCTAGGGGGAGGAGTAGCCATCAAAGCCAAACCCAAACAAACAAAAGCAGAGAAGGGAAGCACAAGGAGAATTAATGTTAGTACTGTTGAATCACGTGGGGTCCAAAATAATGTAGAGATTTTTAGGGATCAGTCAATAAAACTCTTCTGCCTCACCTGAGTGCTGAACCAACTAAAAATGAGCATTGGCGCCAGGTAGATACCGGCTAGGGTGATGAAGAAAAATGCGCACTTGATTTGAGGGCCCAAATGAGAACAAAGATCATGAATTTATAGATGCAGACGGAAGGAAGTAGATAGTTGAATTGGCTGAGGCTTTGGAGGTAGAGATAATGGAAGGAAAAGGGATAATGCCATAGTCTTGGCGTAAAAATCTTTGGAGACCTTTATAAAGACGGCAAAACAGAATCTAAACTCACCTTGACATTCAAACCCTCCCTCATTCAGCTCCAGCCTGCTTTACCATCCTACCTCCATCTCTCCTCCCCCTCCCTGCACCAAAGTTATTTATACCACCCTCCAGCCATCCTGGTCATAATTTCTCTCAACTGTTGGACTTCCAACTTCTGAGCTTTGGCCTCCTCCTGATTAGAATGCCCTTCTAAAGTCAACAAAAGCCAACAAAAATTCCATTGACCCCAAGAAGTTCCTCACTTTCCTCAGCCAGAATTAACTTTTCATCCCCTATTGGACTAGAATTGTCCATTTATGCTCATTCTCAACCGTCTCTGCCTCCTTGGCGAAGCTGCTCCATACACCAGCACCCAGAAGAGGCAAGCTCCTTGGGCATAAATGATTGGATTGGTAGAGTCCAACCTGGGTTTCTCTCCTAGTGCCTGACATTGAAATAGCAGGTCACATTAGGCACCAGGAACATAGGACCCTCTTGGGTGCAGAGCTGGTGCCTTCCAAAGCTGCCTGCACGCTGAGGCTATGGGGCAGTCGGAACCAAGAGCCTTATGGAAGAAAATGGCACAGACTTGCAGAGAGGTGTAGCAACAAGATACTGGGTAGGTGGGGCCAGAGAAAACAAGTGAGAGAAACAGCCCTCTCTGTCATAGGTTTCTGAGAGAGCCCCAGCTGAGCATCTTGCAGCTGAGTTCCTGGAGCTATCCCAGTATTAACATGAATCCAACTTCCGTTAAGTGAGCTTGAGGCAGTGTCTGCTCCTTGCGATCTACTGTCCCTATCCCTGAACTGGTAAGGCTCTGTTCTAACAGTACACTGGGTACTATCTCTTAACATCAGTTATGTAGGTGTGTGTGTGTCTGCCTCCACTGGGGCATGGCAGCCCTTTGGGGCAGGGACTCTGTCCGATTCATTCCATGTCCCCGAGCCTGGCACACACTGGATGCTGAAGAATAGTCATTGAATTTGAATTCTGACAGTACACAAAATGGTGTGATGTATCATTTGTTAGACAATCATTCTAAATTTCTCTCTGCGTTCCCCCCATTTTGTGATATTTATGTCATTTTACATCATTTTTATCAAATTGCTTTTCATGCTACCCACAAACTCTCCATATTCACATGCTTTGGCTTTCCAGTCCTATTAAGTGGTCAGTGGAAAGGATTCAGACTTTAACAGCAAAAGTGGTCCATGCCTCTCTCTAGTTGGTGAGGATGCTAGTCTTATAAGCATCCCATCTTGCAGTATTCAACCACCTTTACCCATGAAATAGATACTTCCCATGAAGTCTGTTGGGGCAGCTTAATTTCAATGATGTCATTTAAAACTCATTAAAAGGTCAGCAGGCAGGCGAAATGCAACTTCTTCCTTCAAAAACCTGCTCAGAAGCATAGATTTACAGAGCTGGGGCCAAAGGTTCTTAGATTTTTGAGTTTCTATGAACTAGGATTGATTTTTTTTAAAAGGTTGCTGAATTTATATTCTTCCAGGGAATGCCATTACAAATAATAAACTTCTATTAACACAACATCACCTCCTGCAAGGCACAGGACAGTCCCCATAACAGAGAACCTTCTCGCTCCAAACGGCGGTAGTGCAGAGGTTAAGAAACCTTGGGTTGGCTGAATGACCTAGTAAAAGGCAAAAGAAACAAAGGTCCCAACCTGGTGAATGTTTGCATGTGGCAACATGGAGTGGGATGGCCAGGTGGGTTATGATGGGGTCAGCCAGTCAGGGGCTGGACTCATTACCCCAGGCCTGGATGAGGCTAACACTTATGGGCATTTTGATTTTTTTTTTTTTTTAGAGAGAGAGAAAACACAAGAGCCAGCACGCACAGTGGGGGAGGGGCAGAGGGCGAAGGAGAGAGAGAATCTTAAGCAGGCTCCACACCCAGCGCAGAGTCCCATGATCTCACAAGATTATGACCTGAGCCAAAATCAAGAGCAGGGACAGTTAACCAACTGAGCCACCCAGGCACCCCAGACATTTTGATTTTTAAAAAGAATAAGGTATGTAAGATGTTTAACACCGTGCCTGGAACATAGTCAATTCTCTAAAAATATTATTATTTATACTATAATTATTAAAATCATTATAGGTGTTTAATAAATGTTAGCCATTTTTAACACCAGGGAAAAATTTTTTTATCTTCCCAAAATGTGTGCTGAGCTCCTTCATGGATCTGGAGTGACTATATAATGGATTGAAAAGATTCAGGATTCCCAGAGGCAATCTGAGGAGGAAGGAGGGAGAGGTGGGGAGAGGAGGGAGGGGCCTGAGATGGAGTGCCACACTGTGGACTCACTCCCAGGAAGATCACCAACTTTCCTCGTGGAGGTGGCTAAGGAATACTTTAAGATGCAGGATGGGTCAGTATACAGTTTGAGGATTTTGGATCTCAGGAATGTGTAAGAACTACTCCTTTGCTCCACCTCACATCCAGCTTCAGTGACTTTTCTCACAGTGGTGCACGAGTTATGAATAAGGTTTTTGGTTGAAATTGAGCAAGAGCCTACAATTCCCATTTGTGTTGAAACCATGGAGAACTGAGACAGCAGTCCTGAAGCAGACGCCAGGAGTCAAAGGTGACTACAAGAAAAGACCATGCTGGAGTTCCCAGAAATCCCAACAGGGCTTTGGACTTCTGTAGTACATGGAATATGGGGTTTAAGCCCCGCTCCTCAGCAAGCATCTGTCTTACATTCTCCCAGTAAAGGAACCATTCTGGTCTCACACCTGGTAATGAGTAAGTAAGGCCTGGTTCCAAAGTTCTGTACCTGCTCCAGCTGGGTCAAAATGGGGGTGGAACTCTGCCTTTGTTCTAGAATCACCCAGGTTCGAGACAATCAGTAGCTTGAAGATCTTCCAGGGCTAGAGAGAGGGGCCGTGCCCTGGCCCTTAGGGCCACCCAGAGTCGTCCGGACTTTTCAGTAGGGAATATCTGACCTCTGTAGGGCTAGAGGTAGAACTGTTGTAGTGTCCACGTGGCAGGAGCCACATAAGCATTTATGATGTAACAACCAAGTAGCCAGAGGACATGAGGAGTATCACTGTTCTGGGCAACCTGGCTTCGTTAACTTTATGGCTTTGGTCAGTGTGCTACCCTGTGCAAAATTCCAAGTCCTTCCTGACCCTCCTCCCCAACTCCCCCTTCCTGCGCACCAGGGAACCAGTAAACCCCCTTCCAACTCTAGCAATTTGGTTGTCATGGTACAGATTAGTGACCAAGGGCTGGGGAGTTAGTTTTAGACAAACCAGTCTCCATTGCGTGACCCTAGGCAACTTCCTTTGCCTCTCTGCGCCAGTGTTTCCATCTGTAAAATGGGTGGGGGCTAACAATAACTTCCTCTTCAACACACGGCAAGAGCTCGACGGTGAGCCACTATTCATCTTCTGATCATCTGGCAAGTTATCTCACTCATCATCCCTGCTCATCCGGGCTCTTTTACCTCCTTCTTATTTAAATCTCGAATATCCACCTTGGTGGTTAAGTTAGTTTGCATCTTACGCCGTTTTTCTCCGTCCCTCCTTCCAGGCCCACCCTTCGCAGACGCAGAGCGTCTGCTGGTTGGATTGACGGTCAGCGACGGCGGTCTCTGAGGCAGTTCAGTCCTGTCCTTGGCTTGGGGAGTCTCCGAACGTCCAGCTCAGACCCTCCGCGGCGCTGCCCTGCAGGGAAAGCCGCCGCCAGCCCATCTCTCAGGCGCGCGAGTGAAAGAACCACACTGCAGCAGAGGTAACAGGCAGGGACCGCGGCCAAGGAGGGGGGGATGGGCGCATCAGAAGGTAACGGGAGGACCGGAATCAAGAACGCGCCACGCCATCTACGCCCGGCCTCCTTATCCTCCAACGGTGGCCCCAGTTATCTCCCCGGATCCCGTCGCTGGCTCCAGAAGTGACAGCCACGTGGACCGCGGGGGGAATGGAATGTTGGCGAGGGGGGCGGGGCTGGAAGGGCGCCTGGGAGGTGAACAGGGACCCGCATACGCGCGCCCCGGCGCCGGGTGCCAGGCGACACCGCCGGGAGCGAGCACGCCCCTGACGTCACGCGCCGTTCGTCCAATGAGCACAGGCCGGAGGGAGTGCCGTTCCGCCCCCTCCGGCCCGCGGCTGCCGCCGCCACAGCAGCCGCCTCCGGGAGAGTCTGAGGAGTCGCGGGCCGCTGCGGGCTCGGGCGCCGCACCGCGCCTGCCGGAGCCGCCGGACGAGGCCCAGGGAGCCGCTCGCCCCAACCCCGCTGCCCGATGTCCTCAAGATGGAGGCAGCGGAGGCGGCGACGTGAAGAGAGCGGCGCTGTGGGCGCGGGAGCAGGGGCCCGGGCGGCTCGGGCGGAGGCGGTGCCGGGATGGGGCTGCTGCTCATGATTCTGGCGTCGGCGGTGCTGGGCTCCTTCCTCACGCTCCTCACCCAGTTTTTGCTGCTGTACCGCAAACAGCCCGAGCCGCCGCCGGACGAGGCGGCCCGCGCGGGCGACGGCTTCCGCTACATCAAGCCGGTGCCGGGCCTGGCCCTGAGGGAGTACCTTTATGGCGGCGGCGGGACTGAGGAGCCCTCCGGCGGGCCCCCCGAGGGCGGCGCGACCCCGGCCCCGGCTCCCGAGACCCCCGCCCCGCCGACGCGGGAGACCTGCTACTTCCTCAACGCCACCATCCTGTTCCTGTTCCGGGAGCTGCGGGACACCGCGCTGGCTCGCCGCTGGGTCACCAAGAAGATCAAGGTGGAGTTCGAGGAGCTCCTGCAGACCAAGACGGCCGGGCGCCTGCTGGAGGGGCTGAGCCTGCGGGACGTGTTCCTGGGCGAGACCGTGCCCTTCATCAAGACCATCCGGCTCCTCCGGCCGGTGGTGCCCTCGGCCAGCGGAGAATCGGACGGCCCCGAGGGGGAGACGCTGCCCGCCACCTCCCCCGAGGAGCTGGCCTTCGAGGCGGAGGTGGAGTACAACGGCGGCTTCCACCTGGCCATCGACGTCGACTTGGTCTTCGGCAAGTCCGCCTACCTGTTCGTCAAGTTGTCCCGAGTGGTGGGGAGGCTGCGCTTCGTCTTCACTCGCGTGCCCTTCACCCACTGGTTCTTCTCCTTCGTGGAGGACCCGCTGATCGACTTCGAGGTGCGCTCCCAGTTTGAAGGGCGGCCTATGCCCCAGCTTACCTCCATCATCGTCAATCAGCTCAAGAAAATCATCAAGCGCAAGCACACTCTCCCGAGTTACAAGATCAGGTGAGAGGGAGGGAGGTGGGGGAAAGATACCCTGCCGGCGCGGGGGGCCTAGCTGCCGGGAGGTCGGGCCTGGGCGGGATGCTGCTGCCTGCGTGGAATGGGAAGGCCAGAGGCTCATCCCCAGCCCCTGCTTTTCCAGGGATCTCCCCAACCCTGGCCGGACAGGACCCGGGAGGAAGGCGAGTAGTGCACACATTCTTTGCTTCCAGAGGGCATCAGTATGAGCCAGAAGCCTTCTCGCGTGTTCGTGGGCACTCGGGGTGCTGTCCGCGTGGGTAGGAGCAGCATGTTGAAAATGTAAGGGCAGTCCCCCTAGTCCCCAGGAGTCGGTTTTGGGACTGGTGAGAAACTGTTCCTGTATGTGGTTGCGGCATTGAGGGCGGTTTTGCAGCATCACCTTGACCACGTTGAGAAACTGTTCCTGAACCCAAAGTACCGGCAGGAGAAAGAAGTGTGCGGATAGCCCGAGGCAGTTGTATTTTGCAACTGCAGGCCACTTTTGCAGTGGCGCTTTGGCAACTTTCAGGGCAGAGAAGTACTATCTGTTATATTTTCCCACAGCAAATTGAAAACCAGTTGGGAGCCTATACATACCGTACTTCTCTGTAGATGTTGTGTTCATGTCATCTTCGAAGCCCTTTGGGGTAGGTTCTGTAGCACAGACCTAGATTCTGCTCATGTATCAACTCTGGCTGCAAGTTTCTTACACAGTACCGGAGATCACCCTGCAGATGGAATTTTAATGATAGGTAGTGATTTTAACTTTTTAAAGCGCTCCTGTATGTGGTGGCTTAATTTTATGTAGTATACTCTTTTGATTAATGGGCAGGGGTTTTTTGTTTTTGGTGTTTGGAAGAAGTGGAAGGGGAAAGAAAGTTTGTAAGGATAGGGGCTTCATCTACTTTGGTCTGAATTGTTGGAGTAGAAAGGGTCATACATGGCTGTTTCTTCAAAATCAGCTGAATTTTTTTTATCACTTTCTGTCCTCTAATTCTCTGTTGATTAAAATGACTCTTGGATTTTGACAGTCTGATGTTTGCCTTACCTAGTGCCCTCTAGTTGCATATTTCTAGATCACTAATTTTCTACCAAAGTGTCAAGCAACAGTGACCCAAGTAATCCAGAGATATTTTATGTTTGGGTTTGTAATGGATTATTGACTTCTGTATGTAGCAGATATGCCTTACTAATTATGTTTTGTTTAGGCTAATAGCATAGAGTGACAGCTTAAAACTGTTGAGTGGCAGGAGAAATTCACTTCATAATGGATATATCTCCATAGATTTGCAGAAGGTGGTGAACTGGTTGTTCACTGTGTTTGATTTCCCATTCTGTGAAGTAGAACATACTTTATGAAACCTGCTCTTCAAGCTTTGGAATGTAACTGACTAAATTATAAATGAGTTCTGATATTTATTTAACCAGTGAGATGTTTGTTTATAGCAGTGTTTTGCTAAGAAAGTAATGAGAAAAAATTACAGATTTTTGGTATTCTGCTGTTTTCTGGGTAACTTTCAGGTAATAAAATTTGACTAAATTATTATTTGGGGGGGGGTATTGCAGAATAGCCAGTGGCAGTGAGGTTGGATATCATTTTGAGGGTTTGTTTTTTTTTTTAATGTAGACTTGGAATTCAGTTAAATCTGAAGGAAATTATGAATAGCAGTTATGGAGACAGTAGGTTTAATTGCTTTGAAGGAACTTTATCATCTGTATCATTGAATAGCATCACCATTTAAAGTACAGTAAAATTGCTTTCATTTACTATATCTGAAGGGGTTTTTTAAAAACACAGCATGTGTCTGGTTACGTATGATAGTTCAAATTTTAAACCTTACACATTAAACGGTCACCTCCAGAAATGTACATTTGTGCTCTTTATATTAGAAGGCATTTCAGTGGTAAATCAGTATATACTAACAGAACTTATTACTTAATCTGCAAATATTTGTTGTACACCTGCTATGTGCTTATCATTGTTTCAGTGTTGGGGCTACAATACTGAACAGCCTCAACCATTGTGGAGCCTAAAGTGTAATGAGAACTGAATTAGCAGTACTTAATATGATTTAACTAGAATGTGATTGATTGATGGAGGGTTGAAGTAACTAGGCAGCTGATTTTAGTTAAGTAAAAGAAAATAATAGAAGTGTGAAGATGAAATGGGCTGCTCCAGGAAGTGTTGAGTTCTCTTGTCTATGTAGCTTTTCTGCCAGAAGTATTTTAAGCTACTGATGTTGTGGAGCGGATTCAGATTTCAGTTAAGAGAATGAATTAAAATACATTTAAGATATATCACAATTCTCATAATGAGAATTAAAGTAACTATTGTTTACCCTTTTATGTAGATGAGAGAGTAGTGCTCAGAGTAGTTAAATAACTTGCTTGAAGTCACACAGCTGTTATGTAGTAAAATCCAGCCCTGATAAAGCCAAAGCTACCTTTTTTCCTTCAACTCTGTCACCTCGTTCTTAAGGTTTTATTTTTTGTTTTTTTAAGTATGCTACCAATATAACATATATGGAGGTACCTTTACAAATCAACTGAGAACTCTGAGAAGAGTGTAACTAAAGGGTTTTTTTCTTAAATTGAAAATTTTAAGAGCAGATCCTTTAAAGGTTTAATCTTCGGGTGCTGCCCCACATAGTATTTCTTTTTTAATCCAGCAGATTTTGTTTCCAAATAGAAGGTCTGCTAGTTTATCCTTTTTAGCCATCTAATCTACTTAGAGCTAAAGCAGTAAAGAAAATTGTATTGAGTCTTAGGATCCTTTGGCACTTTAATATATAACAGAAATACCTTACTAGTTAACATTGTTGTCACTTCTCCCCACCCTTTATTTGTTTTTCCATTTCACGTTTCTAAAGTGAAAGTGGCTTATGAGGAATGCCAGTTCCTGATGGCTCAATCTAGAGATTCGAAGGAGTTCAAGTGGTTTGCTTTCTAAGGATTGTGAAGATTAACACTTCATTTTACCCAACTAACATAGTTTGTAAAACATTATAATGTTTTTAAAAAATGAGTTATAATATGTATACATTTTCCACATATTATAATTTAGTTTTGCTAATATAATTCTAAATTCATCTCCCTCAAATGCTGTTTTGAACTTTTTTCCTAAAATGTATACTTTAAAATAGTAAATTAAAGTACTAGTACGGGGGGGGGCTGGCTACCAGGTTTTTGTTTTTTTTTAATTAACTCAAAAATTAGTCTTCAGGAAAGAAAGATTACCACTGATATTTATGATTACATGGAGAATCCATCTTCATTGTGAAATCTGAGTAATGGTCCAGGGTTGGGAGTCAGAGACTTGAGATTCTTACTGATGCTTCTCTTCCTAGACTCTTATTGCTGTGTTTTAGCACTGGTTGCATACTGAAAGGCCATATTCAGTTTGCAGGTACTTTTTATTTGGCCTCATGGTATTTTTCTGTTGTTGTTTCATAATTGCCAATATTTAAAAAGGGAAGATTTTGCATGATTTGGATTTCTGGCTTCTCTTAGGAAACATTGGAAGATCTTGTTGCACCAGGCCTGCATTCCTTATAGCAATAACAGGAGAGATAGGTCTGGTAGCAGCTGCAGGAAGTTCTTGTGCATAGTTTATAGTCCCCACCTACTTGCTAATGGTAGTTGTCTGGCCTGGCATCATATGAATTTGAGATCCTTTCTAAATAGGGAGTAATACTGTTGCTAACCAGTGAAAATGGGAAGAGTTAATAGCTGGATAGTAAAGGGTGATAATTATTACTCTTCTTTAAACATTATTATCTTTCAAGGGACTTTCATTGAGCAATTTTATTTTATAAAAGACTTCAATATAATGTTGAATTTAAAAAAATCATTCTACCAGAATTTTTTTAAAAATCCCTTGAAACATTTTTCATTCTCTGCAGTACAGTGGTAGTAAGTACATAGTGGCTGTTTTTCACTTGAGTATGGTGGATTTTTGTTTTAGTGTGAAGTGGGTCATTAACTCTGTAAGGATATACTAATCTGATCTACAAATAAAGGAGACATCTACTTGTTGATATTTGAATTTGATGAATGCATGGGAACAAATATTTGGGGGAAAACTTCACTCTTCAGGTTCATAGAATATCTTCTGAACATGGCTATTTTTATCATAACTGTTCTGTTCTTTTACTCCTGAAAAGCTTTGTGCTGTATACATTTGTGGAAATTTTTCAAATATTCCTACTGACTAGAGATCAAGGAGGACCACTGTCCCATCAAAGGCAAGGACTGGGCTGTATTTAGTTAGGTAGAGCTTTTTAGCATGTTTTTATTTACCTATATCTTCTCTAAGTATACCATTTATTTCAGAGAACTAAATTAGGCTTGGTCTGGAAAGCCTCATGCTCTATAATGTGGTCTGTAATTATTTTTTCTTTGTCTTCTGAGATGAGGAAGAAAAACATTGACTCTTACTGTTAATTATAGCTTTTTCATTTTACTGATTATTTGAAGTAAAGTTTTTTTTTTTTTAAGATTTATTTTAGAGAGAGAGTGCAAGCACATGAGTGGGAGGGGCAGAGGGAGAGGGAGAGAGAATCTCAAGCGGACTCCGAGCTGAGCATGAGCCCGACACAGGGCCTGATCTCATGACTCTGAGATCATGACTTGAGCTGAAACCATGAGTCAGACACTTAACTGACTGAGCCACCCAGGCCCCCTGTAAAGATGGTTTGAGTAATCATGTCTTAGAAACTTTCAAAGTAAATTTACTGAAAGCTGACAAAATCATTTGTAAGTGTCATACACTGTATTTATTCACTTACTCTTTCATATACTTTATATGGACAACTTTTAAAAGGTGTCTTAGGCTGGAAAATATTTTACAGTAGCTTCCAAAATCCTTAGTGATTGTAGGAATCACAGTTTTACTTACCAACGTTAGTAGGAAATATAACCTTTGATAGTTTGGGAGAGTACAGACAGGGACATTATTGTATCACTCTAGCTGTTCTGGAGTAATGATGTAGTAGTAGGTGAAT